GAAATAATGGGAAATGAGCAGGAGGACCCCTCTATATATGTGGGACCAGGAGTTGTGTTTTTCATAAGTGGGCCTGCTGGGCTCATTACCGTCTGTGTTGATCACTCCCAGGAGCAGGATGGTGCCTGCTGATGAGGTTCCCTGGCTAGCGCATGGGGCTGGCTAATGGAAACTTGGCTGCACAATAAAATCAGATTGCACCCAGACACCTGGTGAGCAGAATGAATGGTCACATGCTTGTCAGGGCACAAAGCAGGGGGCCTGTCACAGCTCCCAGGAGTCCCTGGGAAACTTCTGGGCACTTCAGCTTAATAATTTGGCTGGGGCCTCTTTGTCTCTGGGGCTGCACCACTCTTTTTTCCTTGTTCATCTGCATTCCTGAGGCACTCAGCCTTGTGCAGACCAGCCAGCTGCTCTCCACTCTGCTGCCAGTCAGGTGCATTCACTGCCCACCAGGGAAGCTTGTTCAGCACCTGTCTGCCCTGTGCCCAGCTCCAGCTGGCATGCATAACCCCCTAGTGCTCTGAGTACTGAGCTCATTCACATAGGAAAACAAATGCCATGTCTAGAGCAGGCAGCCAGGGAACAGCCATGAGACTGTCTGTGGCATGCTAACAACAGCCTCTTTGTGGCCGGGCCTTGTGCTGAGGCCAGAAGATGAATCTGCCCCTGGCATGAGGCTGAGATTTCTGGTGCCTGGTACAGAAGAGCAGGAACCACAACGGTCTTTAGAATAACTATGTAAATGGCACCCCTGCTCCACAGCTCTGTTGACTCCCTTTATTTCTCCCTCTCACACTGGCAGCCAGTTGTCTCCCTCCAGCTTTGCCAGTTCTCCTCCAGTCTCCTTTCTCCCCATCCCACTATTCCAGTGTCAGGACTGCCCCATAGAACTTGGTGGGTTGCCCTCAATATTCACTTGTAACCCCTTGCTCTCCTTGTCCTGGAGCTGTCTGGAGCGGGAACTGCCATTTATGCGTGCTCTAATGGGAACTAAACTAATCCCCAGTGTATGCACAGTGAAGACCTGGATGCCTCCAGTGTGGTGTCACACCTCTCCCAAATGGACTCGGAGACTTGAGGCCCAGTGTAACACTGAGCCCTGCTTGTGTGTGCGCGCAGAGTACCCTTTTCCTTCTCACTTTTCCAGAGACACCTTTCTCTAGGCCAGAGGCACCTCTGTGCCCTAGGCCCATGGCTGGGGATTGAAGAGGGTGGTATCAGTAGACCTGATGCTGTTGGGTCAGGCTGTGTGAGTGCAGCTGCTGAAGCCTTGCCCACAGCACATGCCTCTGGTTGTTGTCCAGGTGAACAGCATGAAGGAGTTGTACCTGCTGATTGAGGAAGAGGAGCTCACTCCACAGCAGCAAGCAGATAACAAGGTGTTTGCTGGAGATGCCTGGACTCTGAACACGGTGAGCTGGGGGACCCTGAGCACTCCTGGGTCAGGGCTGTGCAGTGTAGGAAGAATTGTGGGATGTGCTGGCCATGTCCTCAAGAGCCAAGGGTGAATTAGGGTAGGAAGGGAGCATTTCACCAGCCTGGCAGGCTCTCAGTCCCAGCCTGTCTCCTAGGCTGGTAGGGAGTGGGGTAGTACTGGGGACTCTGAGGCAGGCAGCCCAAGTAAGTCTTGCTTGCATGTGACTTCTTTGCAGTCAGACTGTGCTGCCTAGGCAGTGAGGCCAGAGTCCTTTGTGCATGCTGGGAGCTGACTTCTTGATGCTGGAGCCCCCATGGAGGGCCAGGGCTGGAGTCAGCCTACTACAGCCAGCTCAAGGAGCCCATGAATCTTGTACTGTACATCCCAGTACCAGTACATTGTTGTTTTCTGAAGGAGGGAATGTACTACCCAGACAGAAAAGGCTAGGTAAGAAAGAGTGGTGCCTGCCTGGGAAAGCCTGAGCCAAGTTGAGACTGGAGGTTCAGGCTTCATGAAGCACAGCCTGATTGGAATAAGGTACTTTACACCTTGTGGGGGTGAAAGTTTGTTATGTAACTGATTGCAAAGACCCTAGCGGATGTGAAGGTGATCCTGAAGGAACTTTATCAAGTCACTTGAACTTTCTGTACATGGGACTGCATAACTGGTTGTGCCATTCCCAGCAAAGGTTTGCTTTATCATAGAGGAGATGCAGTTGAAGAGACGCCCCTTGCCCTTTTCAGCCTGTTCTAGGCCTTCCTAGGAGCATCCTTGTAACATGCCTTCCTGCATGTCCCTGATGGGCCCTCTGCCCCAGGCTGAGTTTGCCCATCTCTCCTTTGCCTGTTCCAAGTGTATCAGAGCCTGGCATCAGTGGTGGCAGTTTAGGGAGGGGCTTTCCTAGCTACTGTGCCTGCCCAGCAAAATCCTTTCTGGAGAAACAGGGAGAAGGCCAAGCTCAAAGATGAACAAATCCACCTGCTCCAGCTTGGCGTGGGGCCATGCAAACTGTTCCTCCTCTTAGGCAAAGCTGCTATTGGCTTTTGCTTCCTGTTTGCAAGTCCCCCTGTCCTGCCTGGGACCAGCAGTGACAGGAGTCCCTTAATCTGTGGCTGTCTCAGGCCCCAGTGCCTCACCCAAGCACCAGTGCCCACAGAACATCTCTTCCCTGCCTTGGCTGCCACACAGGGTTTGATGCCTCTTGCCACTCCCTGAAGTGGGAGAGCAGACAGCAGATCCCAGCCCTGCCCTGCCAGGGTGGCCCGTGAAGATGGTTACATGCAGCTGCCCATGTTCACACTTTCTGCCTTTCTGGCAGCCCAATGAATACATCAAGACCTTGGGAGACATGAAGGTGATCCTGAAGGAGCTGTGCACGGAGCTGCGCGAAGAGAGGCAGGGCATGAACGAGCTGCAGCAGCAGTTTGCTAAGGCAAAGGCTGCCTGGGAGATGGAGCGAACCGAGCTCAAGTGCCACATCACCCAAGTAAGAGATGATCTTGGGGCTGGGGACTTCAATTTTCTTCTGTAGAATTTCCCTCCCCCATCACCCTAAAATCCCTGCATTGGGCTGACCCCCCTTCTAGCCAAGGACTGCAGGGTGTAGTCTCTACAAATCCCACAAGCAGGGCTTAGGACATATCAGGCTCTGGAGGCATCTAGTGCTTGTCAAACAGCACATGGGTTGGGAAGTACAGGAGATTCCTGCAGCCTGATAGAGCAGGGGGTGGGGAGCAAGATGAAGGGATTGCATTGTGGGAATCTTATTTAGCAATTTCTGCTCCTGCTGAGTGAGTTTCTATAGCAACAGGGCTGACATTGAAGATTGGATTGCGAGAGTAAAATTATGTCCATTATGGGGATTGCTAGGGAGGGTGGACTAAATAAGGGGGATATCCCATTTGGGACATTCCCAACAGATGCAGGGAAGAGGCTGGCTGTGCATCCCATGAGCCCTGCATGTTCTCACCAGGGACACTGGCAGTTCAACTGGGATTCACCCCCTATGGACTCACGCTGGGAGAAAGCAAGGTGTAGTATACTCCAGAGTGTTGCCTATAACCTGTGCTCCACTGAAGACCGATGTCAGAATGAAATAACTTCACGGTGGAATAGTTCAAGCAGTGTTGATAAGCTGGTGACAAGAAAATTCCTTTTCTTTATGGTTGTAGGATAGACATCAAAACTGCTGTCGTTAGAAGGCAGGTGAATGGGCATTGAGGTGGCAGACCATTTTCATCTCTCAAAGTCATGGTGGCTGGCTCTCTGCACACTTAGACAGATGTGACTGGACCTGTTACAAAGGGTTACCTTTCCAAGGCTCCGTTTGCAACTGTGCAGCCTGGAGATAGAATTGCGTGATTAAATGCTTCTTTGGGTCTCAATCCCAGGGAGATAGCTCCTGAGGTTCATGTACATACCACAATTTTTGCTTTTTCATGCGCTGCAACTGCATGTCTGTTTGCATGAGCAGGATTTCCCAACACTTTTAAAACATTTTTCTTGTGCATTAAGATAAAACTCCTCAGATGTAGTTTAGTTTGGCTCATCGTGAATTAAAGCATTGCATCCATGGATTTGTTGCATGCAAACACAAAGGCACTCAAAGGCATGTAATGAGCCTCTTTGTCCGCCAGATGGTGGTGCAACGTTTTAATAGTTCACATCTTCTAATTGCTTTTGCTTTCAAATTGCTTCCACTTTTTTTTTTCTTTCTTGTGTGGCTCTTTCTTTCTTTCTTTAAGCAAACATACCAGGTCAATCTGGGAGAGCTTCTGGCATGTAGCAGCAGGTCCAGGGGGGTAAAGAAAGGGCTGCAGCTAACAGTGACCCCATCTTGGGGTGCATAGCAGCTTCCTGTATGCCTCACATTGTCCCCTCCAGAAGTGCGCAGTGGGCTGCCAGCAAACATGAAGCTCCAGAAGAGGCACCTAGTCCTTGGTGCAGGGTTACCTTGATTGGACACACACCTGCGGTCAGATGCACACTTGGTGGTTCAGAATCTGGACCCTGTTTTTCCTGCCATTCGCTATCCCTTTAAGCCTGTCTCGTTGTAGCCCTTATTCCCAGTGCTGCCAGTATTACTTCTAGTGTTGGTGACTGAGCTACTCATCCTCCGTTGGTCACTCTTGGTGTGCTGTCCTGTCTTGTTTGGGTCCATTTGTGACATCCCTGTGCCTTTTTTGTCCTGCTGCCTAATCTTCTGTGCTTGACAGACTTCCCCAGCCTACCCATGAGTTCCATCTGCCTTATATTAACAGACAGAGCTGTTAGGAACCAGGGGCCCTGCTATATAATGCATCAGCATGTTGTGATTGACATCTATTTCCAGGGCCTGCTCTAGGAGGAAATGGGCCCTAACTAAATCTACTTGCCAGTCCTATACTCTAGAGGTGTTATTAGACTTTTTGTCACTTTCCCCAGACTCTTACCTGTTTGCTCATCTATAATGTAATCTGCGCTGGGTAGGCTTATGCATAAATGCAGTATCCAGACCCATTTAACATCTAGTTTAAAATAATCTCCACCATCATTTGATGACCCAAACTGCTCTCGCTACTGCAAAGGGGACCCCTGCACTAGCTTCCTGCTAACTAGACATGCTGACTGCAGACAGAAGCTGTGCTGCCGTTAGGTTGCTTTTAATTTCCTGGTTGGGACCTGTGTCTGCCCTTTCCCCCAAGATGTTAAGACTTGTTCTCTTCTCTTCTCTCTTTCCATGGGTCTCAATTTCCCCTTTGCATGGAGGAACTAGGAGGAGTAAAAAATGAATGTGGTGTATACCCCCAGTTGCTTGCTGTTGTCACGTGCCACTTCTTCCAAAGTACTGGTTTTGCTCAAGGTGTTAACCTCCAAGGAGTTCCCTGCTCTCACCCCTACTGCTGGTCCAGAGAGAGCTTGCAACAGCAGCATCTGCCTTGCAGTTGTCAGTGATTTCAGCCTGCCCCTCAAGCTGTCATACACTTATGCCACCTGCAATCTGTCTGAGCTGGCTGCAGGGCTTGCCTTCTGAGAGTGGTGCTGGACTTATCTTTAAAGTCACTTTGACATCCAGTGACGTATGCCAGACCCAGAGGATAATGCCCCGTGGCATTTGTCTCCAAAATGAGGGGTCTGGTTTAGTACTTCTCTTAACCCAATCTGACCTTGCCTTTTCAGGGCCTTGGCTCCTCCTTCCAAAAATACAGCTCATCTGAGGCTACCCTTCAGGGCCAGTGAGTTTGCCTGGACAGCCTGCAGTTCTCCTGTTGGGATGAAGTGCTGCTGCTGCTGTACTAAGAGCTTCTTCCTGCTTTCCTCCTCCTGTGCATGGAGAATTACCACATTTACTCAAATCTAAGACAACCCTGAATTTAAGATGACCCCCCAGTAATTAGATTTATACATAGAAAATTTATACATTTGTTATACTTTTCCATGTATAGCATCTAATTAGTGGGGGGGGGGAATCTTTAAGTCATTCTCTCCACTGCTGCAGGGGAGCAGGCAGTGGGGGGCAGGTGGTATGGGGAGGTCAAGCAGCTTGCCTCTTGCTTGTGCTTGTTCTTCTTTCTGCCCCCGCCTCTACCTTGGGACCCCCATCCCCTTCTACCTCTTCTCTCCCTCCTGCCCCTGTCTACCAGCATCTGCTCCTATCCCTCCCTATTCTTCTCCAGCCTCTGCTCCCTGCTCTCCCCACCTTACCCTTGCTTCATGCCAGCAGGCTCCATCCATGCTGCAGCCTGGGGCACTGAGCATAGCCCCAGCCCTGCCCTTTCAGCCACCATGCAGGTTGCACGTTGCTGCTATGGAACTGAGATGGGACCATGCTTGATGTCCCAGGCTGCAGCATGGATGGAGCCTGCTGGTGTGGAGCAAGGGCAAGAGGGAGGAGGGAGACCATGGGGTGCAGTGACTACAGGGAGTGGGGGAGGGGACAGGCAGCAGCTGCAGCTAGAGCCCTGACCCCAGGTAGGAGCTGAAGCAGCTGCCTGCCCCGCCCCCCCCATACATGATTCTAAGACAAAGAGCTTCCTCCCCGTGTTAAATAAGGGAAAACCCTCATCTTATAATTGAGTAAATATGGTGGCTTTTCCCTGTTGCTTACCTCTGCTGCTTGCCCTTCCCCCTGGCCAGTACCTTGTGCTGGTCTTGGACAAAGGAGCCATTGGGCAGATCCTTAAGCACAGGAACCTTGGAAAATCTGAGTCCTGCTCATGAATGGGAAAGCTGGGGTTGAACCGTTAGATAGCACTGGGAGAAACTGGTGTGCCTCCAAGCAAGGTGTGTCCTACCTGTCTGTGGGCGGTGGATATTTAGAGAGTGGCTCACCTACCACAGTGGTGAGCATGGAAGAGCTGGCTACAGGGCAGGTACACAGTAAAAGATCAACTGCAGCTTTCTAGAGCAGTAGGGGATGAGTAATCCTGGGCCACAGTCACTCATGCTGTTAGAGCTTATCTTCTAGGCTGAGGTCACTGCCCAACATGGCTTGTATCCAGTTCCTAGCTCACTTCACTGCTTTGGACATGGCTAGACTAGGAGAAGCACCATCTTTCAACACCTCTTATGGAGTCAGAGCTGGGGACCTAATGTAAAGGCATATAATTATCTCTGCTTGTCAGCTTCAGCTGTGTGTGACCACTGCAACAGCTTTTCTGCAGTCTTAGTCCCTTAATAAAAAGACACTGTCCCCTACTGCGCTGTTTCTTAACCTTTTTTTATACCAGGACCCATGTTATAAATATTGATGGCCAGTCCCGACCCACAGCTCCCTGGGTCTGCCAGCACCCCTCACTCCTGACCCACAGCCCCTGACTTCCCCAGGCACCATCCCCCTAGTGTGTGGGGCTGGGAGTGAGTGTATAGGGTGGGGGGGGTATGAAGGTGCATGTGCCCCCCCCCTATATTTGTGGGAGCATTGGGCTGTAGCCTGGATGGACCAGCATGGGCAGGAGCTGCCTCCCTGACTCATCAGAGC